CAATATCTAAGACACTCAAACGATCAGCTGACCTCCTTCAAGAAGAAGGATTGTTGAACCCAAACACAAAACATTCAAAGATGGTAAAGTACCCAGCAATGGAGTCTGCCCTCTATGAATGGTTTGTATGCCATCAAGAGCATGTCAATATGAATGGTCAATTGTTAAAAGAGAAGGGAAATATATTTCTAAGGAAACTTTATCCCGAAGCCACCTCATTTGGATTTTCAAATGGATGGTTGGAAAAGTTCAAGCAACGACATGCAATTCATTCTTTTCGTCGTTTTGGGGAAAGTGGTTCAGTTAATATGGAGAAAATTGAAGCTAGTTTGCCATCGATAAGAGAGGAATTAGACAAATGGGCTTGGAAGGACATTTATAATATGGATGAAATTGGTTTATTTTATCGAATGCAAGCCGATAACTCTCTTGCAACAAAGCAGTTGGAGGGCCGAAAGCAAAACAAAAAGAGGATTACAATTGTTATTTGTTGCAATGGCGATGGCTCTGACAAACTTCCACTTTGGGTCATCGGTAAGTTTCTTAATCCAAGATGCTTTAATAATGTTAACCGTGATAATCTCAATTGCAAGTATCGAGCGAATTCAAATGCATGGATGACATCTTTGTTTTTTATGGAATGGCATAAGTGATTTGATAGCCGTTTGGATAGAAATGTCTTGCTTATATTGGATAATTATACTGCACATGGCAAAAAGGAGAATGTCCCCCCACTTCATCACACAACTGTTCTGTTCCTACCACCAGCTAGCACTTCCAAAATCTAGCCATGTGATGCAGGCATTATTAGAAATTTCAAAGATTATTATCGATAGTGCTTTAATCGCTTACTTTTGAAACGGATAAAAGATCATGTATTGGAACCAGAAAAGATAAGTATCCTTGATGAAATTGTAAATGCAGTTGCTGCATGGTCAATTGATGTGAAATCACAAACAATTATCAATTGTTTTAAGCACTGTAAAATTAGACCCCCGATGTCAATGAATTGCAAGTTACAAATGAAGTGGATGAGAAGAATAGAAAAGTCATTGCAGAATTGAGTGATTATATTCGACAACTTCACTACACTAATCGAATGGATATTAATGTCTTTCTCGATCATCCAAATGAGCAACAAGTCGTATATGTTTTAACTGAAGAAAAAATCATTGCTGCAATTAGACAAGAAGAGAAAGGAAATAATCCTAAAGATGATAGTACGAAAATGCAAAAAGTTTCGTGCCATGAAGCTCTAAAGATACTTGAGAAGCTAGAAATATTTTGGCTTCAATAAAAAGGTGTTCATGCTAGCGAGTTATTATATACCCGTAAGTTAGAAGATTTGGTAACAACTCTAAAACATAAATCATTATCCCAAACAACTTTAGGTAAACATTTTATTTCATAATAAATCTTTAATATAACACAGCATATATTTTTTTTGTACTATACAAATAATTATTACTATGTAGAGGCAACTTCAGTGGCGGATCCAAAAAAAAATTTTAGGGTGGGCCAAAATAAAAAATAATTATATATTAATATTTTTGTCCATTAATATTTTTGTTAGGGTAGGCCAAAATCCAAAAATTATATATATTAATATTTAAAAAAAAAATTGAGGGCCCATCCAAAAATGGGCTGGATCTGCCCCTGGATAACTTTCCTTAAGACGGGAATTAAAAAAATTATAACTTATTACAATGTAGGGTTTATTCTTATTTATAACTATTTTAAATTGGGAATATATTTTTTTATGGCTAAGTAAAGTTTATTCTTATATAGAATATCACTATAAAGATATTTGACTGTATATGTGTGTGTATGGGTGACATATTCCAAGATTTTGCTGCAATTGTAATTAGACTAAATAATGTTCTAGCAAACGGTTCAAATCCACTAAACCTGTCGTGTTCGAAAAGATGATCTGAAGAAATGTCAAATCAACAAAAACAAGTGTAGCATAGGAACGACAAAATATATGAGGTACAAAACAACAATGGTTTTATCATTTATTTTGAAGCAATATTTTTGCATGAGTTATGATGATATCAAGAAATATGGGGCTCCTTAATTTATTACAGATTGTCCACACCGAGAAAGAGGGGTGGAATATCTTTCCTGTATGTGATTCCTACGTCGAGAAAACCTGTAATTCTTGTAGACATACATATAGAGACGTATCTCAAACATTCTTAGTATATTTTGAAAAGAAAAAGAAAATAATAAATGATGCCACGTTTGTGCCTGTATATATAAGTAGACACCTGTTAGTTAACCATTTTTAAGAAGAGGACGGTTTTGCTGAAGAAGCAGTTTATCATCACCATCTTCTTCAAAAAATTTCTCTGAAACGTTATTGTTGGTTGCTTAGTTGAACTTATATTCAATTAAGAAGAGAATTCCATGGAGAGTAGAGATGAGAGTTGCAGTACTATTGAAGAGGGTGGTGCGATCGTCTTCATGAGGCTTCAGCTTCTGCACAAAATAAGAAGAGATGATGATCATAATGTTAATGCGGGCTTGTCGTGCATGGCAGCCCATTGATAGGTTTCGTATACCACAGACAACAGTGTCTCTTCTCCTCACAACATCACACTCTGCTTTCTTTCACATCTTTGTATCCCAGAGTAGTCCTCTCGCGCTTCTTCTTCTTTTTCTTCTTCTCATTAAGAAAACTTATACGAGCAGATATTTGCCGAAAATGTTTACCGAGTAGTTTCTCTTTTTTTTTGTAGAAGATCTCTACAAGAAAAGAAATCAACACAGGCCACTAATATAATTGAACAATTTGTAATTAATATTAGATATTAGGTTCTATTAAGTTACCTAATTTCCATTGCAGCTTATTGGTTTTTTTTGGTCTTGTACTTTATTAAAGTGGTTCATTGTTGACTGTGACAGGGCTTTAAAAATTCTAAAATTAATATTAACAACGGTTCTTTTTAAAGTTTCTTATCAATGGTGAACATTGACAGTCTTTCAGAACTAGATTTTATCAACTGCCATGGAATTGAACACAGTACTGAGATGGAAAATTATTTGATTGCTTTGTGGATTGTCGCCCAGTGATTTTAATTAGAAGTAAAAATAATGTCTGCTTAAGGATTTGGCAGACAAAAACCTTTTAATTACGTGATTGATTTGCATCTCAGTAGAAACCAGAGAGAAGTTTAGACGTATACAAGGAACAAGGAAAGGCTCCTTGAAGGTTGGTATAGTGATATGGAGGATCGAATGATGAAACGGGTGCTGTTGGCCTGAAAGCTATACAGAGGTTAATTCGTAATGTGAGTATTCAACGCGATTCAATTTGTTTGTAAGCGAAGCAACACAGTTAGACGTCTGTTTCTAAAAAACTTGAAAAATATGGGCAATTTTGACTTCAGGATGAAATGTAAGCAACTTGCGAAAGAGTGATGGAGGTGGCAGTTCACTATCAAGTCAAACTAACTCTTGGTACTTTATGGCAAAAGTTTATGCGTTCTTTGAAAGCAGATCTTTGGCAGTAATTGCCTCAACTTGGATCCCTCCTAGGATCTTTGATCAGGTTTTTATTTGTGGTGTCACTTCAATGACGCTCACTGAAAAAATCCAAACCAAGTCTCACTACCCAATTGGAAAGGAAAGGATTCAACAGAGTAAGTGCTACAAGTAGATTTTAGTTCTTGACAATACTAAAATCTGTGTTCAATTTCTGCATACCACATTTAGCTAATCAGGCTCAAAGTATAAGGGCATCATGTTTTTTGCATCCGTAAATGGCAAACTCTTGGACTACAAAATTTGCTAGAGTTCTGCAGGGCAAGTAGTTGCAAAGTGAGGTTTCTTTGTGCATATTTGTCCGTCCCCACTGGAAAAAAGTTTCGGGTAATCTGTGTTGAATAAGAACAATGACTTGAGATGGTGTCATTCTGATACAGTCTCGACTATGAAATGGATGGCTTCGGCGAGCAGGAAAAGGGATGATGGCGATTAAGGATCTGTGCCAGGGTCTAAGTTGTTTGTGTGATGATCTACTGTGTAGATTCATAAACGAAATTGTCAAGAGGCCCTATGCACAAAGGATCATTTCTCTTGATGTCATTACAATTCAATTGCGTTTATGTCACGGCTGTGCTTAGCTGTGACACTCTCCTGGTGGATTGACCCAACTGGAGCCATTAATAGTGAGCCTCACAACTACAGCTAAATCTTTTTAAATAAAATTTATTCACTCTGGATAATTTTTCTCAACATCAAAATGTTCTGGTGTCCAGGCACGCAGATGCATTTGTACACGATCATGGGCACGTGGGCGAGGACGGTCTTCGGGAGAATGTATTTTCCGCTAGGAAGAACTGCCCCGCCAGATTTTCTGGCAAAAGGGCAGATATTGATAGTGGAATCAGCGGAATGATAGAAGGCACATCATGAACAGTGAGGAGCAGACACCATTGGGTCAATTATTTTGTGAGGGCGGACAGTGTTGCCAGAGGGAATGTATCGTGCACACAAGCTCATAACATTGGAGAGACATTGCAGGAGAGCTTGGAAAATGCCCACTGAAGTTGAGCGGAGCTTTTGTGATAAGATAATTGATGAGTGACAGCATCGACGCTGAACACAACAAGAGCATCAATGTAGCTGATGATTCTGTAAAGATATGCAAGACTAGAACCAGCTTATTGAAGAAACTAAGAAGTATGAGGGTTTTGAAGATGTTCCGCGCATTTTCTATGATTACCTTATACGAATACATACTGATTTAGGAGAGAGTATGTGAAGGCTTGGCTTGGGAGGTCTGGGCTGGGCATGGGCCTGGCCTTGGAAAGAGAAAAAGGGAATATAAGTAAAACCAGAAGAAACTAGGGTTTCGAGAAAGCGACAATCTCAATATTTTTAGGCAATAAACCTAACCGTCATTTCAATTTTCACATCTCATGTCATCTTGTCCCTCGCCGTCTCTGTATCTCTCGCTTAGATTAGTTTTCTTTAGGTTAGATGAATGGGAGAAGGGCCTGTGATGCTCAACAAAATGTGGTCCGTACAATCTGAGATGCTTTTTCCTGATGCATTCAACTTACAATTGATTTCTGAGGCCTCCTTTCGATTTCTTTTTGCTTTTGTGTTATAAATTCAGGCCATGATGATTCAAATTTATACAATCAAACTTTGAAAGCTTCAGAGAAAGCTTGTTGATGTAAATCTTTTACATTCTCTGAGCCATTGGGTCCTTTTTCGGAAACTTATTTTGGAGTTAAAAATAGGCAATAAATCTAGAGTCTCTGATTGCCTTCTGTCAATAGCGTTTTCGCGCCGTACAGTTGCCGAGAAGGATTTGTGGGGGAATGAGATTCTGGCACTTTGTTTTCAATTTCTAAGCTTTGTGCATTCAGATTTCCCCCATATTTAAAAAAAAAAAATATAATTGTGGTTTTTGGATTGTAGAGGAATACTGAAAAACAGTGATGATCCAACAGACCGTAATGATTTGTGAAAAGACAAAAAATCTTCTATGAACTCTAAGGACGCAGTGATTGTTTCATCATTTGCTTTGTTTTACTGTTTTCTGAAACTGGTTTCTGTTTTTTCTTTTTCGAAAAGCTTTTATTTGTCGTTACAAAGTTTTTTATTAACTTTCTATTTGTTTAATATATTGTTTTCATGTTTGGATGCTGTTAATTTTAAGTGTATTGTGAGCATTATAATATTGGAAGGAAATGTGCTAGATGGGTAGATATTAAAGAGGAACCCAAATTATGATAGAAAGGGGAATTTGAAAACCTTTGCAGGAGAGAGGTTTGATATCGAAAACTTGTGGAACCGTTAGAAGCTACTATCACAACTTCTCTAACAGGCCCTCTTGCTATCCTGTACAGTTGTCATCCCCTGTCAATCTATAGGAAAATAATACCCCTAAAGAGGAAATTCTGTTGGTTTGCAGTGATTTGGTCCAAAAGGAAGAGAGATAGGTAAGAAAGGAGCTCTAGACTGAGGCCTTATAATTGAATAAATTATAGATGGGAAAGTGTTGAGGATATTGAGATGAATGCAACATGGAAATAATTTATTTGAGTGTGGGTTTTGTAGCTGGTGATTAGGTTTTTAGTGTGTCGTTTTGTTGTGTGCTAAAGAAAAATTATTCAATGTTCAGGATGATAAATGGCATTAATCCAGCTCTATGAGGCTTTGATTCAAAGGTCAGTGAAATAGACTGTTTCAAACTTATCTGAGCAACAAAAACCTTTTATTTGTACCAGTTTTAAGTGAACGTTTGTTTTTGTGCTTATTTGAGGTGTTTCTGTATCCGGTGTATCTTATTTTGTATTTGTCATCTGGGTTTGTTTCATATTTTGTCCATGTGATGGTTCAAAATAATCATGCTAGGGTATATCTGATTGTTTTATGACCGAAAGATTTACTTTTTCTAAGGGGAAGAATGATTGAATTGGTTTCCTCATGGGTTATTGAAATCTTGAAAAAGTGTTTGTTAGGTCACAATGGCTTGTTTCTAGTTTGGTTTATTGGGTGTTAATGGAGAGGAATTGAAACATTGAATGTAGGTTTGCATGTATTTTTTGTTCTGATGAGGGTTGAAAAGAATTAATAATTTCTATTTCGTGGAAGATTTATGTGTTATGGTGTGATTTTTGCATAATCTCCGCTTAAAGAATTGTTCCAAGAGATGTTCATTAACGACCATGCTAATTCTGATAATTAGACTGAATACTTGGTTTTATGTTCAGTTCTTTTTATGCTTTTAATTTTTGGATGTATTTTAATAAATCTCAAGCAATTGTCAGTGAATTAATTCACTCATCCTTGATCCAGCTGCAAATTTGATTGCTGTATAAATCTCTTTGATTTTATTCTCATCTTATGGTTTATGGTTTTTATATGGTTCATTTGAATCCCAGTAATTGTATCAACAACAGTTTCGACTACTCATCTGGTATTGTCAGAATTAAGATTCAATATACATGGTGGTTGTGATAGCTTCTACAGTTCCATATAAAACCATGTATTTTAAACTTGCCCTTCATGCTTTTCTCACAAGAGTAATGCTACATGTATAAATAAATTTTACATTTTGTACAAAGATTTTTTTGTACATCTAATATTAATGTTTCTCTGAATCTGTTTTTTCGGGTATGTATGTTGAATCTAAATTCTGACAATGTTAATGATGTTCTTTTTCCCTCAACTTTTTGTTTTACCCCTTTTTCAAATTGCATGTTTTAATTGTGATTATTGCAGGTTAGCTCCTTGAAGAGATTTGAATTTAATTCCCAAATTTCATTCATTTTCTATTGAGTATAATGCATTGTGAATTCCTAAGTTTCATTAATTTTATCGAGTAAAATGCATTGTGATTTGAATTGAATTGAATTCTCAAATTTCATTCGGTTTAAATTGACAGAATTAATGTATATAATATAAATGGAAAATGCTACATAAACAATTTTTTCTCATAAATTCTTGTAAATTTTTTTTTTTCGCAATTGGTTAACTTGGAATGGGTTTTATTTGAGTACTATCTGGTATATAATATGTATATATAATATAAATACCAGCTTTGTTTGCAGCACATACAGGGACAAAGCTGGTATATACATTATATTAGGACCAAATTCGTAATTGAATTTTTACACAATTAGGGATATGATTGTAATTTCATAATTAAAAAGAGGGGTATACAGGTAATTAAATCCATTGACTTGACAAATGATAAATAAAAAAAAATAATTAAATTCAGTAAGAGTATTTTTGTTCTTACAGTTAATATCACGGTTTTAAACATAAACTACCAAGGGCACTTAGTTCAATGGATATTAAATTATTGAGAATGTTGGATTACTAGAAAGATAGATTACTTTAAAGATTATTAAAAAATTTTAAGAAAATATGTTTAGTTAATTAGTGGGTATATTTTATTAATATATTTTGACGAAAAGGATAAATTGGTGCATATGTTATTTAAATGACTGAATTGTTCTTTAATTAAATATTATTATATTATTTTTTAATATTGATTATTATTTGTATTATTATAACCTACTACATTTAAAAACTCAGTAAAAACAATCACATAATAAAAGTTTGAAAAATCAATAAAGTACCCCCATCAACCCAACCATTGTCGGTCGTCAACAACTACTACAAGCCCTCGGCAGTCGGTAACCTATCAACACACGAAAGACAAGAAATATCCTCCGTGTGCCGTATGACCATTTCCAACTAGAGATCTGCCTGGAAATAGCCAGACTTGACAGATATGGCCGTCAATGGGTAGATCGATGGCCATTAACGGCCACAAATGTGATCGTTAACGGCAATCGATCTGGCCGTTGACAGCCAGATATCGGTGCACGGTCGCCATTTTCAGTCTTCTGTGTAACGTTCTGACGGTGGTTGCCAACGATAGGCGGCAGTAGGTGGGTGGGGGTGGTGGCTTGGGTGTGTTGCAATTTGTTTTGAATTCAAGGATAATTTTGTCCAAAAAGTTAATTAATTTGGGTGAAATAGTAAAAGTCATATTCATATAAATAAATTTAAAAATAAGGGCATTATTGTCCTAAAATCTTATTGATAAGGGATAGAATTGTAACAAAAAAAGATAACTCTGGTAATCAGATTACCTCCAATATTATCAATAGTAACCATTATTGGTATTTAAAAATTACCGATATCTTATATTACTTGACAACCAAATATGGTAATCAAGTAATATAAGATGACTTAATCCCAATAATCTCCAATACCCCCAACCAAATGCCCCCTAACGGAACGTGACATTTGGTAATTGATAGGGATGGGGTCAACGGGATTGGGGACCAGGCTTGGGCCTCGGCCCAAAAGCAATCTCCAAATTTGGGATTGGGTCGAGGATGAAGATAGTCTCATCCCCAGTCCAACCTGTCCTGATTCAGCCCGTACATTATATATATAAATTTAGGAATGCTTTTGATAAAATTTGATACAAAAGATGTTATATTTAATTTTTGTAATGATATGATATTATGATATTTCAATGTAATTTATGGCTGCACTTGTTTAAGTTTTTAGAAAGTATTCTCTAAAAATATTTAGAATATTTTTTAACTCTTTACATTTGTTAATTTACTAAACATCTTCCATAATAAAAGTTTATAAATTAACAAAAATACCTCCACCCACCCAACTATTGCTGGTAGTCGGCCACCACTGTCAGACGGTGGCCGAAAGCCATCGGAATGGCGCACGACCGACTAGATCTGTCTGGTCGTGTGTCGATCTAGCCTTTTTCAGTTAGATCTTTGGCCTAAAACTGGCCGTTTCCGGCCAAACCCAAGGTGGATCTAATTGGAAACGACTATATTGGCGCACGACCGACCAGATCCAACCGGTCATGCACCATTCCAGCGATTTTTTACCATTGTTCGACAGTGGTGGCCGACTACCAACAATAGTTGGATAGACTGTGGTATTTTTGTTAATTTATAAACTTTTATTGAGAAAAGTAATTGTTAAATGTTTTAAATTTGATAGAATATGATTGGATTTTGAGTTGAATAAAAAAATAATTATTTCACTGGATTGGATAATAGGAAACTACATATTCTCATTTTAATTACAATCTAATTGCATCTAATTGTCATTAATAACTCTTCTTAAAATTTTTGATCAGGTTTAACTGTTTAATCTTATATTAATTTGAATAATTGAAAATCAATCAATGGATCAATAAATTATATCAAAACAAATTAGTTATTTAAATCGACATTTAAAATCGTTTTAAATTAAATTTACCAATTAATTAGAAGAATGAAGAGGAACTTTATGTAATGTTCAGAAAATTCATACATTGTATTATAAAGATGAAGAGACACAATAAATTGTATTATGTAACCATACATAATTTAGTAATTTACTAATGTAAAAGAAAAACATATTTGTCAAGAAATTACCACTTTAATAATTACTTATTTCACATTATTAATTGATCAAATTCAAAAGTAATTATAATAAAATAATTGTGGGAACATTGAGTGAAACCATATGTAAATAGGTAATAAATAACAATAGATAAATTTTTTATATTAAATATAATGATCTAAATATG